TTTCCTTAAAAGAAGCTCTCAGAGTATTCGATAAAAAGAGGAGCACCATCAACATGAAGATGGTGAAAAGTTTGGAGGCGGAAATGGTAGAGGCAATATACAAATTCGAAGATGTAATCGACCCTCATCTCTCAAATCAGTTCCATTCACAATCTGAAGCAGAAGAAGAGACGGCCGATCATCCTCCATCAATGATATTCTCGGTAGATGTGAAGGAAATAAAGCAAGATGTCGATTCCTTTATCGAAACAATGAACAAGATGAAGAGGGCCTATATCCACGAATTACACAATCCCTCACCTGAAGAAGATGATGATGATGATTTTGTGGCATCAAAAACTCATTTTCGGGGAAATGAGCCTATCATGGTTGGATTATCTGATATATTTATGTCAATAGAAAATTGGCTTAATTCCTCAAATTCTGAAAGGATTATTGTGTCGCTGGTCGGGATGGCTGGCATTGGTAAGACTACTCTTTCCAAGAAACTCTTTCATGATCCATTCATTGTGAGTTGTTATAGCAGGCTCGTGTTCGTGACCATAGGCCCTAAATATCGTCTAGCGGATATCTTGGTGGATATTCTAACACAAGTGAATCCCGACTTTGATGAAATAATGCTTATGAAAGGAGAAAAAGTATTAGCTGGATTGAAAAGGATGGTTTACGAAAGTTTAAAGTATTTGAGATACTTGATCGTGTTGGATGATGTATGGGAAATAGACCTCTGTTCTGTGCTGTTGGAGTTATTTCCAGATGACAAAAATGGAAGTCGAGTGTTGGTCACAACTAGGATGAAAAAAGTAGCTGATTGTGCTAAGCCTTTGAATATTTGCAAAATACCCTTCCTTGATAAGAAAGAAAGTTGGGATCTTCTTCGCGAGAAGGTGTTTGGTGAAGAAGAACCGTGCTCTTATAGACTTGAGAAAGCTGGAAAGAAGATTGCCGAGAATTGTGAAGGTCTTCCTCTTACAATCATCACGGTTGCCAATATCCTGTCAAAAGTTGACAAGACAATAGAGTACTGGAACGAGGTAGCGGATGATAAACAAAATTCAGTATATAAGGATGCATATGAACAAATGTCAAAGGTACTATATCCAAGCTATGACTACTTAGATCAACATTTAAAAGCATGTTTTCTCTACATTGGAGCTTTCCCACAAAATTATTTACTAGACCAGTCCCAACTAGCCAACTTGTCGAGTGCTGAAGGATTTCTTAACTCAGAATCAGTGCATTACTATGAGGAGACCATGGATTATGCATATGATAGCTTTGGATATTGTGATGACCTTTATGCCACAAATGTTATCATGTTCGACAATGAAACATTTGATTTTTACCTTCATTCGTCCTTTTGGTACTTGTGTAACAAAGAAGCTGCCAGGACCAAGTTGTTCTATGCCTTAAATTGCCATGGCGATACTCTACCGGAAGAAGGTATAGAAAGCCAGCGCCGATTGTGCATCCGTAATAATATTCTACTTGCCATCAAAGATGTGCACAACTCAATTGCATCTGATTCAAAGGTACGATCTCTCCTTTGTACCGGTTATTTTCATAAATATCCAGTACCGCTGTTTTTGGAACATTTGAGGTTGCTGAGGGTATTGGATGCTCTTTCTATTAGATTCTATGAGTTCCCGATGGAAGTATTGAAACTAGTTCAATTAAGATACCTCGCCCTCCTTTATAATGGAAACCTCCCTTCTTCCATTTCCAAACTCTGGAACCTTCAATACTTGATTGTTGTTCGACATCCAAGGATAGTAAAATCTGTTGGGAATCTATTGTATCTGCCTATTGAGATATGGAATATGAATGAATTGAAGTATCTTTACACCTGCGGAAGAGACCTACCACATCCTTGTTGTGAAGGATCTCTCCTACCAAACCTATTAAAACTAGGTGGTGTCGGTCCTCAAAGTTGTGCCAAATCTGTGCTCGAAAAAATCCCTAAATTGAAGGCGTTATCGATTGATATCGAGCTGGCTCCTGATGCTACAGAGCCCTTGACATGCTTTGATCACGTTTCCCATCTCCATCAACTACAAGAACTAAGATGTTACATTATGAATCCTACATTGAAGACAGAGGTTGTTACCCCACTTGTTCCTCTTTCAGACTTCCCATTAAGTCTTACAGCGTTAGTTTTGAGTGGCTTAGGATCTCCGTGGGAAGAAATGAGAAAGATTTCTTCATTGCCAAATCTTACACATCTCGAACTGAAATTCTATGCTTTTCGAGGCCCAAAATGGGAGGTTCGTGACAACGAATTCCAAAGTCTCTTATATCTTGAGATTGAAGACATCAATCTGGAGCAATGGACATTTCAAAATTGTCTATGCCTCCCTGTGATTCAGGGCCTTCACATCGCACATTGCTACAAGTTAAAAGAGATCCCTCTCACATTTGGTAAATCTCTTCTAAGCATTAAAATAGTCGAATGCAACCCTATGGCTGTGAAATGTGCAATCAAGTTAAAAGAGGAGTGGGACGACAAATATGCTGGTCGTGAACGTTTGTTAGAACTTGTTGTTCGTTCTTCACTGTAACAATGGGAACACCAAACCGTGAGTGACTCTACCATATCATTGATTCTTCAAAAGGTTAGTCGTTAAATTTTTATATCTATCGAAAATACTAATATTTTAGTCAATGCCCATTCAGGTAAAAGGAATTAAACAACCTTAAATTTTTTAGTATTAAATTTGAATTAACATATATATATATTTTATTATAATTTCATCATACAGTGAATATTACCAAAGATATACTCAGTATATATGCATACATTCTCCTACAAAACAAGAGAAATAGACAATATAGATATATGGTTGATAACACATATAATAGGATCATATAAGTTGCGTTTGGATGAAACAGTTTGAATTTGCTACAACAGAGATAGATTTTATTATAGAGTAAATTACGAAAACTCCGTGAACTTAGGCTAAATAACGAAAAAAACCCACATATTCGTAATTACCAAAAACCCCTGAGGTTTGTTTCCGTCTTACACCAACCCTTTACAGTATGAGTTTTCACGTATTTTTTTTAATTCCAAGAAATAGACTTTACACAATTGCACATATTTTCTTTTATTTCTCACCTATTTAATAAAAGGTATAATAGATTGTACAAATTTTCTGTTAAAAAACTCGGTTAACAGTTAATCAGAATGGGATTTCGGTTATTACGGATAGGTGGTGGTGTTTTTCGTTATTTAGCCTAAGTTCAGGGAGGTTTTCGTAATTTACCCTTTATCATATTACAAATTAATTTATTTGATTACTGATTAATGAATTTGCTATTATGGATTAAAAAAAAAAATTAACATCCGAAATCATTGAACATTCTCCTTTATTACAGGTGTATCGTCTCGAGAGCCGTAGGCTGATTGATCACGAGAGAAATTACATCGACATTGTTTGCATCAAGAAATCGGAGGAACGTACTTTCAGTTTTGAGACGGACAAATCAAAGCGTGTTTGAATATTTTGTTAATGTTATTTGGTGTGTTTAATTTTTCTTGATTGATTTTTTATTACATCCTCATCAGTTATATGTTGTGAGGTTAAAATTAAGACTATTGCGCAATTAAGAAAGGTGCACGTGTGTCGCACATATTGTCGAATTTACAAATTTTACTCGTCTCTGCCAAAAAAGGTAAATCAAAGATAACTACATACATACGATAACCGAAGTATAAGGAACATATATGCTAGTTAGTCATATTTTCCTATCGGAAAAAACTCCGTGTTTAGTCTCTTGATTTCATATTTCAAAGAACTTAAAAAAAGCCCTCTGTTTCATTACTTGAAGTTAGGTGTAAAATACTCCCCTTTGACAGTTTTCGCGGAGCAAAATCTCACCTTAGAAAACACATAGCAAATGAAAAGAAAATCGAGGATTGTTATAAGCATATGCAGCCTCGAAACACAATATCAAACATCAAATAAAACGAGAAATGGAGGGTTGCGTATTTATGAAATTCCTCTTAAAATTCTACATTTACATGGATGGGGGTATCTTTTCTCTGTCATGTGCGGTGCACATGCTGTTTTCCGTCAAACAACCCCACCCCCAACACAACTACTCTCCATGAAAGCTCTCTAATGGTGCATCAACCGTTGCACACATTCGGGAGCCGTCGTCTACCTGCAATTGCAAACGTCTGGATCTTGATGTCGTGAGGGAGGTACGGTGGTTATGATGGCGGCGGCTGTGGTGGAGGTGGTTTTGGAGTCGACCTCACTCATGTACGAATCAAGGTTCACATAATTTAGAATCGAGTTTTGGGAGGTAAGCTGCCAACCCTCGAACCCCAGAACGAATTGGAGCCGGTTTAGATCTATTTTGTGCTGCCGACTTCCAAGCGACGCCGTTTCGGAGTTCGAGTGCTGGTTGGAGGTGAGGCCGACGATGCCGTTTCGGGGTAGAAATCGAGATTGTTGTTTTCTGATGACGAAGACGTCGGAGATGGTGTGAAGCTGGTTGAGTGAACATTTTTGTTTATTTTGGAGAAGATGGCTTTTTTGAAAAGGTCAAGGATTGAATTGAATTTTTTTGAATATAGAATTTTGGGGCGAATCTGTAATTTTTGAAATTTATAATTAGAAGGGCATTTTGGTCCTTTCGGGTTTAAAATACACCCAGTCGCACAATCCGCATGTGGAGCACACGATAAGCTGGCAGGGCCCTTGTTGCCTTTGACTAATTTTCATACGGGGCTATTGCTAATTCTTTTAACATGATGATTTTTAGCAATTTTAGATTATACAGGGGTGGTTTTTGCAAAAAAAAAAAAACATAATACAATACAACCTGTTCATTAGAAAAGTTAATAAATGGCCGACATGGATTAATAAATAAATATTCCTTTGCACATGCTTCCAGAGCAATAACTTCAACAAACAATGCCTATGAAGAAATTTATTCAAAAAAAATCAGATGCTGACAGTGATTTGTCAAACAGAGAGAGAGAGAGTTGAAAGATGGCTTATGGTGCTGTTTCTTCTCTTGAGCTGACAATTGAGCGCCTTTTGAATTCATCAAATATTCCGATTGTTCAAAATTCATCCCCACAAATCCTAAAACATATGTATGAGAATATTCTTTCCTTAAAAGAAGATCTGGGAGAATTCTTTATAAAATATTCTTTCCTTATATTACTCTTAAGCTGAAATGGAAGGTGTGCGAAAGTTTAAGTGAATTGAGATACTTGATCGTGTTGGATGATGTATGGTACACGGATCTCTGTTATGAGTTCGCCAACGTATTTCCAGACGACAAAAATGGAAGTGTAGCATTGCTGACAACTAGGCTAACAGAAGTAAGTAAATGTGTCCACCCTTTGAATTCTCACAGACTACCCTTCCTTGATAAGAAAGAAAGTTGGGAACTTCTTCGTCACAAGGTGTTTGATGCAATGCCTTGCCCTCGTGAACTCGAGAAATCTGGAAAGAAGATTGCGGAGAATTGTGAAGGTCTTCCACTTACAATAGTTACAGTTGCCCACATCCTTTCCAAAACTGACAAGACTTCGGTGTACTGGAACCAGGTAGCTAATGATAAACAAAATTCGGTTTACAAGGATGCATATGATCAAATGTCCAATGTACTATATCCAAGCTATGACTATTTACCTCAACATTTGAAAGCATGCTTTCTCTACTTAGGAGCTTTCCCACAAGATTATATGGTGTGGAGGCGCCAACTGATCGACTTGTGGAGTGCTGAAGGATTTCTTAACCGAAAATCAACCATGACTTCAACTGATTATACGTTTGCTTATGTAGGAGCGCTTCTTTCAAATAATGTTATCATCTACAATGAAGAAAAGTTTATATATCACCTTCATTCATCATTTTGGTACTTGTGTAACAAAGAAGCTACCAAGAATAAGTTTTTCTATGCATTCAATTGTCTTGCCGATGCTCTACCAAAAGAAGGTATCAACTACCAGCTGCGCCGATTGTGCATCCGAAATAATGTTCTACTTGCCATTGAAGATGCGCACGATTCAATTGCATCTGCTTCAACGGTACGCTCTCTCCTATGTACCGGTCCATATCATCAATATCCTGTACCATTTTGTTTGGAACAATTAAGGTTGCTCAGGGTATTGGAAGCTCTTTCTATTAAATCCTATGAGTTCCCAATGGAAGTGTTGAAACTATTGCAGCTAAGATACCTCGCCCTCACTTACGATGGAAACCTCCCTACTTTCATTTCCAAACTATTCAACCTTCAGTACTTGATTGTTCATCATCAGTACCGGATCGTAAAATCTGTTGGGAATCCATATTATCTGCCTATTGAGATATGGAATATGAAAGAATTGAAGTCTCTCGAGATCCGGGGAAGAGACCTACCACATCCTTGTGAAGGATCCCTCCTATCAAACCTCACAACTCTAACTGGTGTCGGTCCTCAAAGTTGTACCAAAGATGTGCTTGAAAAAATCCCTAATCTGAAGGAGTTAACAATCCAAATCGAACTAGTTCCGGTTGCTTCTAAGCCCTTCAGTTGCTTTGATCACATTTACAATCTGCATCAACTACAAGAATTAGAATGTGAAATTACAAATCCTATTTTCAAGGCTCAGGTTGTTACCCGATTTGGTCCTCTTTTAGACTTGCCATCAACTCTTACAAAGTTAACTTTGAGCGGCTTAGGATATCTGTGGGAAGAAATGAAAAAAATTTCTTCATTGCCAAATCTTACAGACCTGGTATTGCAATGCTATGCCTTTCGAGGCCCGAAGTGGGAGGTTCATGACCACGAATTCCAAAAGCTTTCAAATTGAAGACACCGATCTGGTGCACTGGAAGTTTGTGACAACAAATTTCTGCTTCCCTGCTATTAAGGTTCTTGGCATCGAACATTGCTACAAGTTAAAAGAGATCTCTCTCACGTTCGGTACATCTCTTGAAAATATTTATTTAGTTGACTGCAACCCTATGGTTGTGAATTGGGCAAACAGTTTAAAAGGGGAGTGGGACGACAAATATGGCGGTCATGGACGTCGATTATACGTTATTGTTCGTTATTCATTGTACTGTACTGATGGGAACACCAGAATATTGATACTTGAAAAGGTTAGTCATTCAATTTTTATTTCTATCTGAGGGTGAATTTGTATCAAAAGGGTTCGAATTTGAGGTCTAACAGGCCGATAAGTTCGATTATTTTTTTTTAAATATTTTTTATTACCAAAGATCTACTCAATTGTATGTATATGCATACATTCTCCTACAAAATAACTATAAATAGACAATACACATATATGGTTGATAACACGTGTATTGGGATAATGTAAGTTGCGCTTGGATGAAACTGTTGGAATAACAAAACAAGTGCACGTCCGTTGCACGTATTATGTTAATACGAAGCTTGGATATTCATGAGTTATCGTTAGATGGTGAATGATTTGGTTTTGAGTTTTCTTGTATTCATATATTGTTCAAGTAATTCTCATCTTCAACTCGTGTGCAATACTCGACTCAATTTCCTTCTCGTCTTGTCTTGTTTGATGTTCATCCTAATATTTTAGTTAATAGACAGTTTTTTTTAGTTAGTCGATTGAGTTGTTTGCTTAGTCGACTAAGGTTTTTTAGTTAGTTGCTAATTATTTGATTTAGCAGAATGCAACAGTAAGTTATATTTTCATCGGAAAAAAAAAGGCGCAAGTCCCGACAATTGTGAGCAATAAATCTTTCTCGACGAAGAGTAATGGTAGGTGATCATTTGTTGAGTCTCTCGATTTCATTATCTGAAATTAGGCGGAACAGTTTATTTGGTGATTTTATGACAATTATAAAACTTTAGGCTTTACCTTAGGATTTTTTCGTAATTTGCCCTACTTTTTTTCTTGGGTGCAAAATGTCAATATGGATTGAGTATAGGTACTTGAGTAATTACAAGGAGCTAATTGCATAGAACCCCCTATGCAATTTTATTTTTTATTTTTTTGGGTAAAATTCATTTTGCACCCCTGTACTATGCGAAATGTATCATTTACCCCCCTGAAGTATAGAAAACATCAAACACCCCCCTGCCGTTAGTTTTTTTTTTCTAATTCCGTTAGTCAAACCCTTTGACCGACTATTGCAAAGAAATGTTGGCTTTTTTATTTTATTAATGAAAATACCCAAAAAAATTCTATATATAGGATGCTTCGTTTTGACAAATGTCCACCGGATTTTTCACCTTTTTCAGCCCTTTTTTTCACTTTATTCAATCATTTACTTAACATTTTCAGCCATTTTTCTTATAAAAAAGCTGAATAGTCGAATAAATAAGAATGAAGCTTTGCAGATTATGAATGTAAACCAACAAAAAGGAAAACTAAAAGCCCTGAAATCTAAAAGAAACCCTAAAATTGGAATAAAACCATATGAAAGAATTGCAAATTAAAAACAAAGATTTTCATATTATAATGGAAAAATCCTCGAAAAGGAAAACCAAAAATAAAATCAAATTCTAAAATCGACAAAAAACCCTAATTTGAACGAACACTAGAAATCGTCAACAATCCACAAAAAATATGCCTAGAAAAAATTAGGAATTATATCAAACATAAAAACAGAGTAAAAGAGTCATTGCACACTCAAAATTTAACACTGTTAAAAATTTGACCATTGACCGTTAAAAATAGAGGGTGTTTGATGTTTTCTATACATTAGGGGATAAATGATACATTTTACATAGTACATGGTGCAAAATGAATTTTACCCTATTTTTTTTTAGATGACCTCCTATGTAATTTCGAATCATCAAAAAAACCCTTTGCCTTAAAAAAAATTAGCAAAGACCTCCCAATATATTATGGCTATTTACCTATGTAAGTTCAGGTGGTTTAATGCTATTTACCTAATTTTATTTGGCCTCTTTTGTATTGTTGGAAAAATATGACAAGAGAAAACAAAAAAAAAAAAAAAAACTGAATTTCTCATGTGGGTTTCCGGATGATTTGGAGGAGGATGAGGGAAGAGGCCATTGATTTGGAGTTAGGAGGCCCGGCCTCTCTCTCTCTCCCTCTCTCTCTCTCTCTCTCACACACACACACACACAAAAATGCATTTCATTTTTGGCTTTGATTGAATTTTAGCTTCCCTTTTGCTTGTTGATTTGCAATGGATTATTTGATGGTGGGGGAGACTTTTGGTGGTTGTAGGTGTGGTGGAGAAGAGATATCTGGTTTTGGGTGATTTGGGAAGATGGCTTTTTAGAAAATATTGGGGATTGAATTGAAAAGTTTGAGAACTTCATTTTAATTTGGGCCTTATTAGAATTATGGGGTGAATTTAGAATTTTTCAAATTTCTAATTTAAAGGGTATTTGAGTCTTTTCGCGTCAAAAAACACAATCATTCGCACATTTCACGCGTGCTACACATGTTCGGCTCGCAGGTGTGTTATTGCCTTTAACTAATTTTCATAAGGAGGTGTTTGCTAATTTTTTTTGAAATAAGTGTTTTTTCAGCAATTCAAAATTACATAGGGATAATTTTTGCAAAAACCCCTAATTATAAGTGATGATATATGAAACTAAAGTTGATATATATAAGAAGGGAAAATTACATTTTCACCCCTTAAGTTTGCACTAATTTCACATTTGGTCCCCATGTTCACAAAAAACACAGTTGGTCCTTTATGTTTCAATAATTTAACATTTTTGGTCATTTCCATCAATTTACCGTTAATTCGTCAGTTAAGTAATGAGGGGCACACGCTTGATTCCGTTAGTACTAACCGAAAATTGACGAAAAAGAATAAAAGTGTTGAATTTTTGAAACATGAGAGACCAAATAGGGTTTTTGTGAACACGAGGGACTAAACGTGAAATCAATGCAAAATTAAGAGATGAAACTGTATTTATCCTAAGTAAGAATGAAGCACTTGCTGAACCAATTAATCTTAATTATTGTCCGAAAATTAATGCTTAACTTGCAGTGAGGCAAATGATTTCACCAACAGCTTAATCATCTCGAGAACTGGTTTGTATTTGTATGTATATAAACCGCGCATTCAAGAAATGGACTTTGACTTAATCTCCTTGGATAGTAACAAAGAGAATAATACAACTTTGGCATTCAGCATTGTTTCCATCTTGGATTTGGAGAAACGTATTTTCAGTTCTGGGACCGACAAATAAACGTCATTTGATATTTAGTTATTTGTCATTTATTATTATTATTTTATTTTATTATGTTCATCTTCACTAGTTATATGTTGTGAGGTTTAAAATTAAGACTTTTATGCAATCTTTACATATAAAAGAAAGGTTTTCCCCGAAACCCTAGTGGCAGTTTTCGTAAAAAAAATTGTAGACCTAGGGGCTTTTACGTCCGTTCATGTTTGTAACACCCCGCGTTTTCGGTAAAATAATTTTACCACCTTTATGTGCATATTTGTGAAATTAGAATTTATAATAATTCTTGCATGGTTAGTATTTACGTGAATTAGGTAATTATGTGAAATATATGAATTATGTGATTATGTGAATTATGTGATTAGGAAATATTTCGAGATATTATGTCGAAATAAATTATTTTTCATAAACTAGGATTTTATTCTTGCACATGAATTTAAATGAGCATTTCATCATATTTATGCATGCACAAAATTTTAGAAAATAAATTTTATCATGCATTTTAGGATTTTTAATTAATGTAGAAAATTAGAAAATCCTCCCCACATTTTCTTGAATTTTCGGAAATCACACACACACACACATGATTTAAAAATTGCATATTAATTAGTAGTAGACATGCATTGGTGTGGTTGTACTTTGTGCACGGAAAGAAATACCCAAGCCTAGCCCCCTACTCTATAGACTAGGTATGCTTTTCCACTCCCACACACAACTTTAAGGCCAAAAGTCTTTCTTTCTTCTTCCTCTCCCCTTCATTTTTTCGGTAGCCATATCACCACCACCATAGCCACCACCTTCTCAAGCTTGAACCACCCAAGAACCACCACCACTTCAACTTTCGAAAATTTCAAAATCACCCCGACAAAAAGATGTATTTTCCTTTCTTCTCCATTGGCTTTGAACTCTCCAAAAACTTTATAAATACATCCAATGCCCAAGATCAAAATACACTCTCCAGCTCCAATCTCACTATCTATAAGTTTCAGGTCTCCTATTTCAACAAAAGGAGAATTTTAGGAGAATTATCTATAAGCTTCTTCTTCCTCTTCTTTTCTTTTTTCTTTTCGAAAAGAGCTTATCTCTTCTTCATCCAAGTTCTTCTTGTTCTTCTTGTTCTTTTCTTAATACATAATCTAACTCTTAATCTCTTGTTGTATTAGAGAGAAAATTAAAGAGCTAACAAATCCTTCCCCTAAAGAGAGAGGTGAGAATTCTTGATTCTTGCTCAAACATGCAACACCACTAGTATTTTCGGTTTTTATGTGTTTTTATTGTTTATTCTTGCATATTATGTGATTATATGGCTTAGATGATGATTGCATGTAGTATTTTGAAAAGATAACTTTGTTCTTGAAGTTTTATGTGTTTTTTGAAAATTTGGGGAAAAATACTTAAATTTCTTATTTGACTTAATTAGTGCCTTGCATGTGTTTATTTCGTGTTTGATTGTTGATTTGTGGAAAGAAAATGAATTTTGGCCTAGCCATGAAACTTTCGGAAATTTGGGGAAAAAATTTTAAATTGCTTATTTGGCTTAATTAGTGCCTTGCATGTGTTAATCTAGTGTTTGATTGTTGATTTGTGAAAAGAAAATGAATTTTTGGCCTAGCCATGAAACTTTCGGATTTTTGGGGAAAAATGCTTAAATTGCTTATTTGGCTTAATTAGTGCCTTGCATGTGTTAATCTAGTGTTTGATTGTTGATTTGTGAAAAGAAATTGATTTTTTGACTTAGCTAAGGAACTTTCGAATTTTTGAGGTAAAATGCTTAAAATTGCTTATTTGGTTTATTTCATATTTTGCATGTGTTGATCTTGTGTTGATTGTTGTTTTAAGGCCTTGCATGTTAAGATTGGTGATTGATTGTTGATCTAAGGTCTTGCATGTTAAGATCTAGTGATTGATGGTTGATCTAAAGTCTTGCATGTTAAGATCTAGTGTTTTCTATGTAAAATGATGAAAAAACCAAGAATTTGTGCTAACTTGATTTAAAATACTCTTGCATGTGAAGATCTAGTGTATTTACTTGAATAAATGTAAAGATGGAAGTCTTGAATTTTATTCTTGTAAAAATGCTAGATTTAGTGAACTTTTGATGTTAGATTGTCTTTGTATGTTAAGATTTCGGTTACTTTATGTTTTTATGGCTAAATGATTTTGTGAAACTTTATGTGTATTTTCTATGTGCTCTTGCTTGCTTATGTGAATCATTGGGTGTGAGGATGAGAGAAGGGTAAGTAGAAGGGTGCATGTGTGGGTGCATTAGTGTCATGAAATTTTAAAAGATAAAACTATGATGAAAAGTCTTTCGAGGTTACGGTAAATTTCCCGGGTACGGCGAGTCGGTACCGTAGGGCCTAGGGGTGGTTTGATCCCACGTAGATAGACATGATTCGAAATATATGAGGTTATTTACCGGTAACTTAGATTGACTCTTCCGAGGGATTCCCGATGATTTTTCATGTCATGCATGTTGTATTATGGTGTTGAGGATATAGATGGGAAAATCTCATTCTATGGTCTTGGGATCGTAGGGTTATAAAGGTGGGAAATTCTCATTCTATAATCTTCAATACGTGTCATGGCATAGGGTTATAAAGGTGGGATATTCTCACTCTATGGTCTTGGGATCATAGGGTTATAAAAGTGGGAATTATCTCACTCTATGCGTGTGACAATTATGTGATGAAGAACTCCGACAAAAAAGGGAAGTATATGATTGTTTTACTTTATGTTTCATGTTCATGTATAACATATATGTATGTATATATATAGATATATGTATGCTCTATGTGTTATGTGTATTCGATAATACTTCAAGATTCTCATTGAGTCCTCAAAGGCTCATATAGGTGTTGTATGTTTGTAGGTATACCCGATTTGGAGCTCGAGGAGTGAAGTTGGGAATCGAGCTCGAAAATCGGAAGGAGATCGTATGGAGGGGTTGTGGATTGTGTTGGCTCTTAATTTAGTTATGTGGTTCTATTTGTATAATATGCTTGTAAAAACTTTTGATACGGTTTTAGGTATTTTCTACCGCTCGCTTCCTCCGATCGGTGGGAATTATTGAAAGACGATATGTGTAATAGTAATTAGGATTACCCTCTTTTGGATAATTAATCGGTAATCCGTAGGCTTTTGTAAGCGAAAGCAAATTTTCACTATCTATGTGCATGCATGCTTTTCGGCTAGTAACTTCTTTATGTTTTGTCTCGATGTTTGCAAATTATTTTCATATAGGTTCTCTGCTCAGAAAATCATGAAATTTTAGGATTCTCTGCATCTTTCTGTTCTCATGATATTGATAAGTCTTTTGCATTATTTGGGTAAGTATTCAATTAGTTATGATTTATTTCTCACTACTGCATTGAAACAGGGTTATTCGGGTGTTTTCTGGTATAACTGGAGTTTTACTCACTCAAATTCCTTGTTTCCACTTGGAAAATGTTTTAAACTTATTTTTATGCCTTGGGGTAAAATTTCGTAGTTTTGGGTCAGTGAGGAATATAATTTATCATGAATTTTCAAAACTCCCTCCCCTGTTCTGGATTTTAAACCGAGTGACTGTGCCATTTTATTTATTTCTCCTAAATGGCCATGCATATTCTAAAACTGTTTTAACCGAGTGATCTAGACCCATGTTAGATGGTATGGTATTATTTTGGGGTCATTCGCATGATTAGTTCAAGAGGAATTAATTTTTAAAGCTTCTGCATTTAATCTGTCCGAACCTGCATTAAGTCCATCATGCCTAGTTACTTTCTAGTCTTGCATGTAGCATGCTTTGGTGTTAATTGGTTGATTAGGGTTTAGTATAGTGTGACCTCTCTCCCTCTGATTTAAAAAGAAATTTTTTTACGTAAATTTATATCCACAAAAATCATTTTTAAAAGTCTTCCGCTGAGATTACATATAATAAGAGTAATCGAGAGAGGGGTGTCACAATATTGATCGGTTTTTCGTTTTTTCCTTTTATAAAAATAGTTTCGCAATGAACAAACAGGACAAGCCTCTATTTTTTTCTCTCTAAATCAAACAATCTCTGTTTGTTTATCCTTCATATTTTTTTTTTTTTTTATTAAATTCATTTTTGATGAAGCAGTTTGGGAATGAGACTGCTGGAGTGAAGTTCTGCATGGATCCTAACAATCTCTACAACCTGCATTCGTTCAAGCACTCAATAAAGGCCGAACTGCACAGTCATATTTATTTATACTGAAATGCTATTCATAGTGCAATTTTTACTGCTTTGCAGTGCAATTTATTTCATTTGTAACTTTTCTAAAAAAAACAAATTCGCTCGCTATTTCATGTATTATTACACGAAATTCACTCAATAATTTCGTGTATTTTTACACGAAATATAAGTGTTTATTGTTATAGAACACGAAGGACGAAACTGTTAGATTGAAAAAAATCGTGTATTTCGTGTAATAATACACGAAATTGTACATCATATTTCGTGGAGTTTTCCACGAAATTGTAGATCATATTTCGTAGATTTTTCCACGAAATATAATGTAATGTTTCGTGAAATTCAGTACGAAATCACTATTTGATTTGTTTTTTAATTAACCAATTTATTTCAGACACTCAAATTGACCTAAAAATTCAAATACAAATACAAATTGAACTAGAATTCAAATACAACTAGAAATTGATCTAAATTTCAAACACAAAATTAACCTAAAAATTCAAATACAAATACAAATTGAACTAGAATTCAAATACAACTAGAAATTGATCTAAATTTCAAACACAAAATTAGCCTAAAAATTCAAATACAAATACAAATTGAACTAGAATTCAAATACAACTACAAATTGTATATTTTAATGAGTAGCTGGGATTCAGATTATTATTTAAGATGGGAACAATGATTTTTGTTTTTCAGTTTTTAGTAAATAGGGATTTTGTTTCATTGTCTCAACATGGAATTGGTTGCTTCGTTTGAATTTATAAAAAATAAAAAAGGATCTTGGTATGTACAAAAAAACATAATTTATGGCTGAATTGTCATAAATTAATAAGCTAACTATTAAAAAATGTATGTACAAATTCAATTCAATGGAATCAAAAGAAAGGTTTTTCCCGAAACCCTAGAAGCAATTTTGTAAAATGTTTGTAACCCTAGGTTTATTTTTGTCAATTTACTTTCAAGTTAATATATTTTCTTTTTTTCTTTTCTCCCGACATTTTGTTACGTGGTAATTTGAGTAAAGAAACATAGTTCGAGAATTAAGAAAAAATCGAGAGATATGAATTAGGAGAATTATAATTAGGAGAAGAATTAGAGACGAGAATTAAGAGATGACAAAGGGAGATTAATTGATTCTTAAACTTCATAATACGTAACATTCTAATTACCCTATTTATAATACTCATAAATAATAATTAACTACCACCCCACTAACCCCTTAACCACACTAACCCACTAATGTAATTCATGCCCACTAATAAAAAACTATCCACTAACATATAATTTGACTAATTCTAATTAAATTAAATAATAAAACATATCATTCCCGTCCGCTCAAAATATCCTTGTCCTCAAGGATATAGTCTTGATACGTGTATGGGATCATTTTGTGAATTCAGTTGATCGGGTGATCCATCACATATTTGAGAGAGTTGTTCGAACTCTTCATGGTAAATGGCATCAATGAGTGTTTGTTTCATGAAACGAGTGAGGGCTTCAGAAGGATCGTCAAATTCGGTAGGACTAAAACGGTAGAGCAACGCCTTAGTAAAATATTCCCCGGCCGACGAGCCCTTGAACCCAATTAACCGGCGATTCCGTTCCAAAGTGAGTCCTTCCAAACGAAATGAATCGAGGTGCACCTGCTGATTTTGGGCAATACTTTGAAATTCAAAATATTGCTTGGCTTGGAAAATCCATTCCGTTGCGTTATCTGTGGCGACTTTTGGAATTTGTTGTTTGAGGTTTGTATTTGGGGCAGGGTATGGAGTTGAGTGTGTTGTAGGTATATTTATTTTTTGCTTGACCGGTAGTGGTGTTTCTCCCACAACAAAGGAGTTGACATCATTTTCGGCTTTGGAGGAGGCTCTTAGAGCTCGAAGTTCGGTGAGAACAACTTGGAGGGTGTTGTGTATTTTGTCGAAATTTGATTCGTGTCGAGCTAGGGTTTCAATAACCTCAGCACGAAACTCAGCATCTGATTGGTTACGTGCCTCCATGGAACGTAACGGCTCTGATACCATTGTTACGTGGTAATTTGAGTAAAGAAACATAGTTCGAGAATTAAGAAGAAATCGAGAGATATGAATTAGGAGAATTATAATTAGGAGAAGAATTAGAGACGAGAATTAAGAGATGACAAAGGGAGATTAATTGATTCTTAAACTTCATAATACGTAACATTCTAATTACCCTATTTATAATACTCATAAATAATAATTAACTACCACCCCACTAACCCCTTAACCACACTAACCCACTAATGTAATTCATGCCCACTAATAAAAAACTATCCACTAACATATAATTTGACTAATTCTAATTAAATTAAATAATAAAACATATCACATTTTTCTACAAATTCTCACTTTCTCTAAACCGATGAAGAAAAACCGTCCTGAATCCCCTAACTTCTAATTTGATGTATGAATTTATGCACTGAATTATTGGTTTATTTTAATTTTTATTGAATTTTCTGGTAACACGTGAGACTTTCGATGTATTACAATCCACTTGATTGTATAATTTTTTTTACTCTCTGAATACATCATATTTGATATGGAAATTGTGTTATTTTACTGGTTTGTCCATCAGCACCTATTGTTTCTATTTATAGCTTTACATCTTAATATATGGTTTTGTAGATTTTGATTTTAGGCACGATGACTTTGTTGAGCTACCAGGTTTCTTGGCTGATTTTTTGTATATCTACATACATACATATATGTTGTTGTTATTTGTGCACCCTGTAAGAGTTTTTTGATGATCCTTTTGTTGCTCTCTGTTAGAGCATATAATTAAAGGAAATTGTTTTGGTTTTTCGGTAAGCGGTAATGCGCCTATAAATGTATTGCACTTTTGCAGCCTGTCTATTTTTTCTGCATGATAAATTTTTTATTTGTGATTTTTCTGTAATTCTGTTGATATCCAATTTATAATAAAATAAAATAAAAAAACAAAGAAATCACTATGGGTTGAGGGATTGGGTGAAAAATAATAGATATTTCCACTGTTGTTTAATTGATTCCATACTTGTGCTGAAATTTATTCACTATGTTTTTTTTTATTTAATTTGTCCATTCCATGTTTATTGGAAATGTGATTCCATTTATGTGCAGTATTTAAGTTTGATTCCGAAACCTCTTATGTGAACGATATGTAGCTGCATACATCTTGCAACGCATCCAAGGTGAGATGGTCATATTGACTCAAGATGAAGCACTTTACAGCCAGTAATTAGAATTGCCAAAATTATCATAGATCGTCTTATGATCTTTTCAAAGCATTTGTTCTTTCCTTATAGAAATTGCTTCGTGATCGATTGATCCTCTATTATGGAGTTTCACTACGTTTGTTTTGTATTTTTATTTTTCTTTCTGAAATTTGCTTTTGACATCAATTTTATTTACAATTGTACTTTGATATTTACGCATGCAGTGTCTACCTTTATGGTGTTGGAGTTGTTGTAATCATAGGTACGTTCTTTTTTATAAATATTGCCAGTCTCAAGACTGTTAAGTACCATTATCAGGATGATGTACTTAATCAGCGAGAACATAAGAAATTTCTGTTATTAACATCTTTATTTTAATCAACATTTTTGTTATTCCTAGAAAATTTAGATTAAATACTAAGCAAGTCATCCTATATATTTATTTATTGCATAATATCAGATTTGCATTGTTTGGTAAGTATAACTGATAAGTTGTTCTCATTTTTTACATGACAAGGAATTCTAGTTATTAAAAAAGTGTGTGTGTGTCGTATTGTGTTAATACGAAGCTTGCATATTGAGTTATAGTTAGACGGTGAAAGTTTTGGTTTTGAGTTCTCGTGTTTCGTATGTTGTTCAACTAATTCTCATCTTCAACTTTCGTGTGCAATACTCGACTCAACTTCCTTCTCGTCTTGTCTTGTTTGATGTTCATCCTAATATTTTAGTTAATAGACAGTTTTTTTTTTAGTTAGTGGATTGAGTTATTTGCTTAGTCGACTAAGGTTTTTTAGTTAGTTGCTAATTATTTGATTTAGCAGAATGCAACAGTAATAAGTTATATTTTCATCGGAAAAAAAAGGCGCAAGTCCCGACAATTTTGAGCAGTAAATCTTTCTCGACGAAGAGTAATGGTAGGTGATCATTTGTTGAGCTCGATTCCATTACCTGAAGTTTAGGCGGAACAGTTCATTTGATGGAAACACATTTCTATTTTTTCCATTATTACCAGGAACATCCTCAAAACTTTTAAATATTTACGGAAATGACCCCGAAACGTTTCCGACAAGTGTCATGGTGTTTCGATTTCCGAAATGCGAAAACGCGTTTACCGAAGTTTCCGTGCACCATAGCGTTTCATTTATGGGATTTTATAATTTGTGGGATGAAATTGTAAGATTAAAGTGAAATTGAGGCTGAATCAAAAAAAGAAGTAAAAAAAGGGTTGAATGTGTTATTTTAGAAGGCTCACGTACTCCACACGTGACTTAATCGGCTCCCAAATTGGTCTATATATAGAGGGCAAATTACCAAAACCCCCCTGAGGCAAGCCTAAATAACGAAAATCCCCCCACGTTCTCGTAATTACGAAAACCCCCCTTGACTAACGGTTGACCGAATTTTTTTAACCGAAAACGTGAAATGTCTATTATATCCTTTTGTTAAATATGTGAAAATAAAAGGGCAAATTACCAAAACCCCCCTGAGGTAAGCCTAAATAACGAAAATCCCCCCACGTTCTCGTAATTACGAAAACCCCCCTTGACTAACGGTTGACCGAATTTTTTTTATTTATATATTTTAATTGATTTTATTTATCCAGAGGAGTATTAAACCGATATTGTATATTAAATATAAACGAAAACCCCCACTTACATGTTGTATATTAAATATAAATTAATCTTTAAAAAACAAAAAAAAGAAATAAAAACAAAAAAAAGAAATAAAAACAAAAAAAACAAAAAACAAAAAAGGAGAAAAATATATTGAGTCTTCTTCTTCCCTTCGTCCTTCGGAAGAGACGACC